TCCTGCTGGCCACACTGTTCCTGATACAGGCCAGGATGCCATTGGCCCTCTTGGCCACCTGGGCACACTGCTGGCTCATGTTGAGGCAGCTGTCCACCAACACCCCCAGGCCCTTTTCCGCCAGGCAGCTCTCCATCAAGTTTGATGAAAATGAATAGTCCGATAGAGAAATGAGCTTCCGATAAGGCTGCCGCCGGGAGGAGAGCCGTCAGCTCTCTACGTGACGCATCCAGCTTGGCAGCAGCCAGCTCACCAACCCCCGGCGCTCCGGTTATTGTGGCAGGGACGGGCATTGCGGGACGCATTGTTTATAGAACAACTAGTTGCTAAATAGCATCTATTCATACAGGTGAAATAATTCATTTGCTTCCTGATAGGTAACCGACATCTGGCATGCCTTTCTCGTGAAGTCAGTTCAAGCGCAGGAGCAAATTCGCGAGTCACGACCGGAAACGTCTCCGTTCACCGAGGAGAAAGAAGTCGGCGAAGACCCCATGAGTAAGCAGCGCCGTCGCGCAGAACCGTGTGGAAGACGGGATTTGAAAGCATCCGTACCGGCCGCTGTTCGTGTTCACGGCCTTGGGGTTCGCGCGGCATTTCTGTATTTAATTTAATCGGCGTCGCAGGTGTTTCTGGTGTCGATGCTCAGTGGATTGTGCTGGATGAGACAAACGTGGCCGCTTTAGGAAGGAGGGCGCGCAGGTGGAAACGCAGCTTTGCCCTCTCTTTTACCTGCTCCTCTCCACAGCGCCCTTGGCAGTGACTGTAACAGTGCAAGATTTTTGCCTTTCAGGATTCGATTCCACTTCAACCTTCTCATTTCTCCTTCGTCTCCATTTCATTGTGGGAAAGCGCCGTTTCGTCTCACTTAGGCAGGTCTACAGCTCCGTCTCCTGAAGCAGCAGGACGCGACGGAAGATTTTTTAGAGCGCGTACCAGTAATCGGCCGGGTTAACCCGGAGAACGCTCTCGGGAGAGAAGCTGGGGAGGCTCTGACTGGGACACAGAGGTGCATAAAGCCTTGGGAAACACGCTGGTGTGCGTGGTGCTGCCCTGCGCCCCGCTGCAGCCGGCCTTGCCTCCGGTCCTTCCCTCCCTTCTACCTTCCACGCTAACAAGAATATTGGCAGAGAAGAGAAACGTTTCCGCAAAGCCCTTTCCCTGGCGCTGTCTCCGTCCAGCAGCAACCCCTGCAAGAGGCGACACCCTCTTGGGTTCTGCCGGCAGTAGGAAAGTTGTTCTTTTCGTGCAGCTGTTATGACTCCACATCCTTACTAAAGGCTAATCAACACAATTAGCGACGAGATGAAAAGCTATCTGGTAATGGGTATGGAATTTGCATGGAGCTGGGATACCGCGTTGATGCTTGTAGTAGAAATGCTTTGATGTCTAGAAGAGATAATTGGACAGTTTTGAATATATTATCTTGCGTGCATCCAGCCATCCAACAAGATTCTTTCTTTCCCGCTGCAGCTGAGGCCCAGCAAGCAGAAGCGACCCGAGTGCTGAAGGCCGTGTTAGCTGTCAGAGAGCAGGCGCCAAAGCCCCAGCCCGGGGAGACGGCCCGCGTCCTGCACGCCCTCGCCATGCTTTATTACCTGGTGGGGGAGCTATCGAAGGTGAGTTTCCTCCGGGGAGAGGGTCCAGGAGGGCCGCCCAGCTCTGCTTCAGTGCTCGCCCCGCCTCGCGAAGCCATCGCCTGGCTCCTCTCCCACTCCCCGGCAGCCTTGCGGCGCTGGATGAGCGAGGACGAAGCTGCCTCGGTGGCTTGGCGCGAAGCCGGCTCGCGATCTGCACCCTGCCGAGGCTCCTAAAGCCCCCTGCGTCCCTGTGGGTCTCTGCCAGGCCATCCTCGGCGGATCCTGGCGTTATCCACATTTTCTGGGCTCCTCCTTCATCTGGGATACCCTGGCAGCGCAGCCGCCGCTCACAGGCTGCGTTTAGACACGAGATCAGATGGCAGGCAGCGAGCAAGACGCGGGCCTTGCGCGCGTCTCTCCCCGAGCCGCCGCTCCCTATAATTGCTGCTGCGTTAATGGAGGTTCGCTCTGTTGGCCCCCGTAATTCATTTTTTGAATTTGCACCCCTGCATTTTATCGGCTGCAAATTTCAGAGGCGACCGCTGACTTCAGAGTGCCCAATGCTCTGCCTTAAACGTCGTTGATTTTGAGGAAGCGCTGAGCAGTAACCCTTGGAAATCAGGCCTCTCTGTTCGGGCTGAGCGCTCAGAAGCCCGCGTTTCTTCCGCCTATGTTTTGGAGGGTGAAAATACAGATTGGTCTCTTCGCTGTATCAGAGAAAGCCGTAACGACGTCAGGCAGCGTTTGGAAGAAACAAATTCAGATTAGAAGGCAGGCACGGCTTTGTAACTGTGAGAACGTTCTAACCCCTGGAAGAGCTACCGAGGGAAAGGAGGGATTTAGTTCGGACCGAGACGCTACAGCTGGGGTTTATTCCCGAAATAGCTTTGGGAACGCTCAGAGGAGCTGCTGGGATCGAGGCAACGATCTCCAGCGCAGGGGGCCGGGGGGACTCATCTCTGCGCCGCTGGATCCTCGGCGCGACACCCGCCGGCGGCTTTCCTCCCCCCGGTGCAGCGGCTTGCGCAGGGCACCCTCCGAGGCGAGCGGCCGGCGCCTGGACCTGCTCCAGCCCCGCCGGCGCGGTGAGCCTCTGCCGGCGTTTCCACCGCCCCTCCAGAAAAGCCGAATCCCTGACAATTCCCCTGCCTTTTCTCTGTCCTTCCAGGCTCGCGAGGCGGGGACGAAAGCCTTCGCCCTGGTGAAACAACTGCCCCAGCAAGAGGCTCCGGAAGCCATTGGTCACTTGTTAGAGTTGGTTGACTCCCGGCCGTCCCCCACGGAATCGAGGACCCTTTCCGCCAGCGCCAGGCCTTGGCCCGGGCTAGCTGTGTAACCGGGCTAGCTGTGTAACCGGGCTGCTGGCCGCAAAAGCGTTGCGAGCCGTAGGCCCTTCCTGCTGCTCGCATCTTTCCGGCTGCGTCCCTTTGTCTCGAGGTGTCGAAAATTAAACTTTTTGGCGTGAGGTAATTTTGCGCGTGCCCATCGACCTCTGGAGCCTGCTGGGGAGTGACAGCGCGAGGGTGGGAACCGAAAGCCCGACCAACACGCGACGCATAAATCATTAGAGAACGATTGGACGACGAATTACGCCTCGCGTGTTGGTTGTGCTTTTGTTATCTAATGATTTACGAAAAAGCAAACAGCCTCTTGCGTCCTCGCGCTCCGTCTCGGGGCGCCTGAGCTGTGTTTATTACCCGTTTCCTCAATTTGCCTTTCCGTTCGGCCAGGGCGAGACCAGGGAGGGACGCGGGGCCGGGCCCCGGCACGCGCCTCGCGGGGGGCGGCCGACGCCTGCGCCTCGGGACCTGGTTGGGCCCCGTCGGGTGCTGCCCCCCCCCCCCCCCCA